GGGGGGGGGGGGGGTCCCCATGCTCGTTTAGGAGCAACAGCACCTTGTTTATACCATATAAATCCTTATAATAGCACCATGATTACTTGCTAAATTCATGGCTTCGGAAATTGCTTCTTGCTCAACACTGAGAATTAGCCCATATTTATTTTATATAGAGAAGTTTATTACTCAATTCAAAACAACAGAAAAAAATGATAGGTCACCGTGCTCGTTTTCGAGAAAATGACGATTTACCTCTATGGCGAAGTCCAGCTGAAAAGAAAAAGCCGCCATTTCTTAATGCGCGCGCGCTAATCACGCGTAAAATTATGCGCAGTAGGGATGCGCAATGCAAAACTGGGGAATGACCTTAATTTTAATTTGTTTTGACTTCTTTGTTATTGGACCTCCTATTGTCTTGTAGGGAAAGCTCCCTCAGTGTTGTTTCAGTTTCTATCACTTTGGGTTCCCCTTTATGAGAAGACTGACAAACTAAACACGGTAAGTTTATCAACTGTAAGCTATTTGTGATCTAATAGCGTGGATGTACACAAGATCTAGAGTTTACGCTGGAAGAGTTTTCATGAATCGCGTGACTGATGTTCTTCCTGCTGTAAGCGCTATCAGTGAGTCACGCGAGAATAAGTCAGACCAATGATTGCCTAGAAGCACCATTTTGTGTAGTAACAAATCGCTTAACGTTCCCTTTTTGCTTACTTTTCAGAGGAAAAGGTCTTGTTATTGTGCGTATTGGTTTTTGTTTCCCTCCGGTGACTCGCCAAAGCTGGTGAGCATAAATAATAATTTTAGATTAGTTATAACATATTCATAGCAGACTGAAATAATGGTGTAAACTGTTCACAGCCAATTTCCTTTGTCAACGCAAAGTCAGAACCTGAGAGAATTTGTGACCGCAATGTCGACGCTAATCACCAACTACTTTTAACTCTGACGTCATGTAGTTAAGACTCATCAAAGCTAGTTATTGGTAACGACGCTGGTGTGACCGAAACACGATTGGCAAGCTGTTTTAAAAACTCTTTCTATTTGGGTCATTGATGTTTTCAAGAACTCCCGAAAGGTAAATTAGTTTCTGTAGTCACTAATTAGACGTGATTTGCTGTGTTTCATCCCGCATCCCGCCCCTCAATTTCAAATTTATCCCGTATATCCTGGTTGAAATGAACATATTCTGTACAGGCCAAGATATGTTCATCCCGTATCTCGCATCATGTTCTCTTGCTTTGATTTTTAACTTCTCTCGCATCCCGCCAAGTTCATGTTTTGACACTCCAGAAACTTCCAAATACATCTTCCATGCATGACGTATTATGATAAACAGTGTTTCCTTGAAATATCTAGAAACCCTCAAGCGATTTTCGTTGTTTCACTTTCCAAAGCAAGTTCCGCCGTGATAAGTACAGCTCTAACTAACTTTGCGTTGTCTGGTTTCTATCTTAACCAGTTAGAATAATATATGGCTTGATTATGATAGCTACGAAATTCAAACAATCATAAAGTGATAATCAATTGTAAGGTCCATCGTTTGCTAGTAAACAACAAATTTTTTGGCTCTGCCAGTTCTGATGTCTGTTGCTATGGGAAAACGAGAGTCTGTGTGAAATCGATCAAATCGATCAAATCATACATTATAAAATACATTATTAAGTGAAAACTGACAAAAAAATTAATTCATGGCCTTCCATATTGTACAACAGAAAGATGGCTAAAGTAGCCTTTATTTGTTGCCTCGTCAGAGCAAGTCAGTCTGTCTATGACACGAACTGGCGTGGAAAGTAAGTTATATTAATCAGCAAACACAGAGTTAAATGGTAGCCTGGAGTGGTTTTTAAGTTCGAGAAACTTCAAAAGAGCAAACAAAGATGCAAAGATTTATTTTGCGATCATACACAGTGCATTAATAATCACGTCACATAAAACGAAACATTTCTGTTGTTTAAACTGTCACACAGTACTGAGTTAACAAGGGCCATCGTGTCTTACGCATGGTAAAGCCCAAGAGCGAACTATATGCCGGGCAAAGAACTTTGACTAGATTGACAACTATAGCTATTTCACTGATTGTAAGCTATGGCCAAACTTTGAAAGCTAATGGACTTTACGATCAGTATTTAACAAATAATGGGGCCCAACAAAAATATGACTCACTTTTAAATGGGATAATTTGGTTTTATCCACTGAGTTGATAATGTGAAATTGCC